TATATATAATATTCATTTACATAGTTTAAAAATTATGCGAAAAAGATATACTTTTTTTTTTTAATTTATACAATTCAAACAACTCTATATCACATTCGCATATATATAAAAGTCTTACTCTCTTTAACTCTCCGGATTAGGAATCTTACGCAAAAGTTGATAAGTGGAATGGGGTGAAATGTGGGTCGCAAGACTCCCTCGAGTGGATTCAGTGGGGTATTCAATGGGGTAAATGGGGTATTGCATATTAAATGCGCAGATAGGGGGTTATAACGGTAAAAGGAGGAAGTACGGAATAGCTTGGGATTTAAAAGAAACGTGTGGAACAATGTGTGTAAGCTTGATGCGGTTATTGATTACGGATCACTGTCATTGACGGCCTGTCATATGGAAACAGTAACTGTTTTTCGTCACATACATACACGTTAAACTTGAGCAGATTTTTAAATTATCTAAACTTATTTGAATTTTGATTATTTAATAAATTAAAATTATGTTTAGTTGTTAAATTTTTATTTATTACTAATAGCTTATAAAAATTAAAATTTGTTTGTTAAATATCGGAAGAGAATATAGGTAGAATTAGAATAATATAAAAAATGAGACAGTTCAATGCTACTTTTGAAGTGTTTTTCATAGTTATTTTTTTAAAAATAACTTTTTATTAAAATTATATTCAATTATTAATTTATTAATAATTTGACAGAAAAATTAATTTTTAATAAGAAAAAAATTAAAGAAATTTTTTGTTATATTTAAGTATATATTATAATAAGAAAAAGAAGTTTTTATTTTTCGTAATAATTAGTGTAAATCGTAATAGATAGAAAGCCAGAAGGGAATGCAGGACAGAACGGGAGGCTCGACGACGTATGTCCCCAAAAGCCGCGGAGCTTAGCGTTGAGTGATCGCCGCTCAGTCGACCTCGTAACCGGCGCCATATATCATTCAAGATGGCTGGCATCTCACGCTGTTCAGAGAGAGACAAGGGTGACAACCCTCCCGTCTCTGCTTGCTACTTTTGACTGGCTATGTCTACGCTTTCGCTGATAATCGCGTTAAGGAGATATCAACCCTGAAGCGGTGGTTTTTCTGTACATGCAAACTGTGTTAGTAGATATTAAAGGTTTTAGTAAACGGATAATTGTAATAAAATCATGTATTAATAATGATATTCTTAATTCTTTACTAATTATGCAAATTTTTAATTATTGACTAATATATAAGAATGCTATAATATCATAAAATATACATTCAAAAAAATTAAATAAATTCTTTTGAATTTCTTCTTTGGTTAATATATTAAATTTAATTAATCATATCTAAATTTTTTTTATTATTTTAGTAATAAAAGAAAAGAGAATTAAAATAATAAATAGATTAAAATAAAAAATAAATTAAAATATGGGAAATAAAAATGGTATTTAAATATATTAAATAATTTTAACTTCAAACATAAAATTTAAATAATTTTAAGCGTATTTACTTTTATAATTGCTTTTAATTTGTAATATTGAATTAGATTGTTGCTGTGCAACTTATTAAAAGAGAAATAAAATGATTAAATATATGTGTAGATAAAAGTCCAATATTATTTCAAAGTATATGTATCTACGCATATAGATTTGTAATTCTGGGATAACGCATCGATCGATTATTTTGTATAAATAATCAGAGGATTATCAAAAGCTAATTAATTTGCATTTGTGGATTAATTACATGAATAAATTAATTAAATGCCTAGAGAAAATGTGAGATTTAGGTTTATCTATAGATTTGGATTTACGTGAACAATACAATTTCATAATAATGTGATGTGATTAGCATAATTCAATATTATTTTATATGCGTTTAAAAAAATTCTTGCCTTGGAAAAATAATTGGAAAAATATTTTCCTCGGTTCCATCTACCGTCTATAAATGTATTTTAAGACAACGAATCTCGTGTATGTCGGTAAACGAAATTTCTGTGCAGTAAACTACTTTACTAACGTCAGGTTTAGCCCCATTCAAAGCCCTATTCAATTAGTTTTCTGACAAATTGTTCTGTCTTTAACATAAATTTATACTTTATTAATTCCATCAACTATCAATTTTTTTGTATTGAATGTATCCGAAATCCAATATATGTATATTTGATATTTAAATAGATATCAAATATATAATTTCCCACTGTGCTTTCCTTCCTGCTTTTTATTTCTTCGAAGTTTCAGACATTAATCTTTATTTAATTTTATTTATAAATATTCTCCTCTTCTTCTAATTATAAAATTAGAAATATATTGAATTTTATTGTAATATTTTACATACGTATATAAGATAGAAAGAATAACGTTTTCTATGTGAAGATTTTTAATATATGTCAGAAGTGACATATCTTCATTTTTGAAGAATAAATGAAAATTTATAAATTAATTAAAATTTATAATTATCTATTCTATTGTATTATAAAGAATATATAAATTAAACATATGCCAGTATATAAAAAATACATATATACATATTGTAATGTACAAGATAAATGATAATGTACAAGATTTAATGTACAGATAAATAAATATAAATCGATGTTCACACTGTTTTGAACGAATAAAGTTATATTCAGTATATATTTTTCAAAGGAAAAACTAGCTTTTTATAAAGACAATATAACTCGTCTATCTATCATACAACGAGCAATATTGGCATGCCCATCGGTTGTAATATTGAAATTGTACTTTTTGCAATATGAGAGTTATTTATGAAACGTAGCAGGCAATATAGGAACACGTAGGGAGAATGTCGGCATGTGATGGTAGCGTTCTGATATGATGTGATGCGATGCGAGGAGGATCGAGCTCGTTGAGATATATAATGCTCGACGTATGAAGCGTACCGGAAAATAAATTATAAAAGATTGAAAGACAAAATGAGTGAGTTTTTAATTTTTCATACAATCATGCTGTTTTTCACACTCACCTTTGTTATATAATTCTTTTGTTATTTGATACGTTATTATTTTTATAATAATTAAATATTTTTTACTTTATATTTATTTTATATTTTCTCCACATTTTTTTATCGCATTACGGATATCTGCTACACGCTGTATTTATTTTTTTACAAGTAATTTAATAAGAAATAATTTTTTTCATTTATATTTCAAATGCATTATAACGATATTATATATGCGATTGATTTTTTACAATGTCCTTTGCCTTTTTTTTGTGAAACTGCAGTAGCAACGTGTAACGTGTACGGTTAGAGCCCTCCGAAGCGACAGCTGTTCACCGGTTGGCTGCACTATTCGATTGTCTCGCTCTTGATGATTGATGATCGTTCGGGGTAGCTGCTGCTGTGCCTTGACTCCGCGTCTGTCTTTTCCCTCTTTTCCCTCTGGCTTTTTTCGTTTCCCTAACAATTTCAGTGCAACGTACCGAGTCGACATACGATGTTGAAATTTTTCTTTTAAATCGTTAAGAAAAATCATGGAAATGGGGCACCGAGCACGTAGAGAAAAGACGGATGATGAAGCATTAAACTTGAACTAAAGAAGGAAAGTTCGGAAATAAAACAACGATCATTTTTCAGTATTTAAATTAGCGTCAAACTAAATAATAGTAGATAATATTGCTTGCAACAAATATAGAATATTCCAAGTATTATACAACTTTACAAAAAAATAACGAAAATAACGAAAATAATAATATAAATAATAATAAAGTTAAAAAATTCAAAATTTACATATTTTACGCTAACATTGTTGCACAAAAATTGTTAAATAAAAATTAAGTTACTAATGCATGTTTGTAATGTATATTTTATTTTAATTTTTCCAGGAATTCTCATTGATGCGTTTTCTTGTTTGCCTCACGTTTATCACAATCTTGCTTCGTATATATTTATCGTACAACCAAAATTATAAGGTTATATGTATCTCGTCGGTAAAGATGAAAGCGCTGATGAACATCTTTGCATAAAAACAACCGGTTGCGAAGCTTCGGCCGAAGACATCAGCGACACGACAGCATCGCATGCGACACGGGCGATATCTCTCTCGTCCCAACCCCTCTTATTTCTCACCGCCAAGCTGCCTCCCCTTACCGAGCTACCATCACGACGGTCTGCTACCGTCTCCGTTCATCCCTCGTTCCCCATCGTCGCCCCTGTCTCACTCGACGAGACTACCGGAGAGCTCTGCTCTCGTCATTAGGCCAACGAGATTTTATTAAACTGCTCCTCTGCGCGCATAGGAGGCATTTCGCCTCTCCCATCCCCCTCTTCACTCCTGCCGGCCCTTCGCCAGTTATTACATGCAAAGTGAAAAAGTTGCCCATAGGGCTGACCATTATTCCATTGCGTTGCTCGCGCGCAAAGCCTAGCCTCTCATGTGCGTGCGCGCGGTACTTATGCGAGCTACCGCGAGTGTTTTTTTTATTCTTTTTTTGATTTCTCGGGACCGGCGCGACCGCAGCATTTCGCATGCCGCGTGTTACAAATTAAGTTACATCAATTACAACGCATGTACCCGAGTATTGCAGACCATGCGCTATTGCGGCTTTCCGCAGGCTAATTTCCTGCCTGTCTTTCGCTATAGAAGCGTAATATCCGGCTGTTATTTTATCTGATCATCTATAGATAAAACTCTCTATGGTTGTCAATCGAAGTTTATTTTATTTTATGTTATATTACGTATTATCAACCGGAATATCAGTTTTGCATTGTCGAGTGATTATTATTTACATGAATGCTCAAATGTTATAATTTATTACACTGTCAAATCTCTTTTTCAAAATAAAAATAGAAATCTATTCTGAAAAATGCTTGAGCTACATATAAAATTATCTTATTTTCAGTATTCTTTCATATTTGTTAAAGATATTATTTTCGTGATTTTATTAATTAAAATATTGATATGTACAAAAAATACTTTAAAAAAAATTTTGTAATATTTTTCAAACTAACACCTTAACATTAAGTAATTTTTTAAAAGCTTATTTGGCACATTTTTTATGCATTTATTATAAAAATTTACTTAAACTAAAAAATATCTGTATATATGTTAAGAATAAAGTAATTCAATCTATTATGAGACATTGTAAAAAATATCACTTGCCATAGTTTTTCCATCGTTGTAGAAGACGAATACAGACGGTCGATCTCTTGTACTCATCATCACACAAAAGGCACAAGAAATTTAATGTATTTTACTTCAATTATTGCTTCATCCGCGAGGAACGTGAAATTCGTCTTATGCCTATTGCGCAAATAGGCCAACTGAAAACGCATTGACATCGCAAGTCACCGGGCTGCGAGAGGGAGCATCGGAGAGGTGGCGGAAGAAGAGAACGAGCCTGGTGCTGAATGGCGCCCTACCTGGTCCCCGAAGTCATAAATCATTCCCCCGCAATACTACCCCTCGGCGTTTTCCTGCACCATAACATCGCTGATCGGCGAACGGTCAACATCACCTGGAGCGCACCATGAAGAGGACCATACTCATTTTCGCAACAAAATCTCAGAAAACTTCCACGGAAAAGCCAGGTACATATTTGAAATATTTGCTAACGCATGATCTTTTTACTTAACAAAAGTTCGAAGATACATTTCTATCATATGAAAATTGTCAAGTCAAATCAAAGTAATAGCCTAGAATCGAAAATGTATAGTATCGTAAAGCATTGTCTCGAGATCATTGACTGATATTATAACTTATAATTCTATCTATTAATAATACTTTTCGTTTATCGCCGGACAAATAATTTACACGATGTAATCACAACTATTTACGGGAGAGGGGGCATATCAATCCGTTTTAAAAATTAAAATATAAGCTATTAATTATTATTGATCAAATAATTTGATATTGATATAATGGTAAGTAATTAATATTGATACTTTCTGAAAATAAAGATATAAACTAATTTTCCGAATTTATAGAAAATAAAGATTGCAGGGAACGCTGCCTCGCATAACTATCAAACGTAAAATTAATAGTCAGTTTTTACTACGCGGCACTAACGGCCGGAACTCTCCTGGTGGGAGGCCATAAATTTCAGCGGCACAGATTCAAAATGATCTCCTTTATTGCACGCAAGCTGAGTTAGTTTCGCTTTGGCTTGCCTCCTGTACAGTCGTACCGCCAGTCTGCGTCTCGTGCCGGGGAATGCTATCTTCTTCCTTTTTTTTCTGCTTTACCGCTAACTTTTACTGGCCGAAGCAATTAATTGTGATCACGTGTTACCTTCATGTGCGATATAGCTCGGCCATATTGAAATTGTCGTAATATATCAATATTGGGGAATGTTTAATCGAACAACAAATTATTGTTGGAAAAATAATTGTGCGTTGAACGTACATTTTTGTGTACTTTTTGTAAATTTATTGTGAGTGTTGTGACATAAGCAGATACAAAATAAAATATCGTAATTTTGCAATGAAATGTATTTACTATAAAAGGAAGTAATTACATAAGTGCATAGAAATTTATAATATAAGTTTTAAAAAAATTTTTAAGATAACAATGTATTTTAAAACTGACGTTATTATTTTAAATATTTTACTTTGAATTAAAAACTGAATGATATACAATTTTTTATTATAATGAAATGTTTATGAGTTGTATGTTAAAGTGAATGAGAGTGAATTTAAAAAAGTAGATCCTTCTTTAATTTTTTAACAACAATAGATTTTAATCCTTTAAACTGAAAAGAAGATAAAGCTATACAATTGCTGCCATCTATTGATGATCCTTCCGAAATAATGTTAAGTATGTGCACAAGATAACGCTGCTGTAGCTATTATTTGGCTTCTTTACGCACAGTAGAATTTATTAATTACATTGCATAAAAAATTTAAAACTTTTCTCTAAATAAAATAAGTTAATTAATTAATTTACAGATTAAAATATTTTATCTTTAAGAAGAAAAATAAATATTTATTTATGCTTATAATAAAAAATAATTGTTTAATATGTTTCTTGATTATTGTTTTAAAGCAATTTTTTAAATTCTTAATTAGCATAAATTTATATACATTGTTTATATTACATTTTATGAAAATATTCAACGTTTGTTTTCTTTATTATTTGCGAATCGCAGTGTTTACAAAGTAAAATAAACTTTAATCTAATGATTTAATCTAATGATGAAATTATAATATTTTAATAATACATTAAATATATAATATATTAAATATACGCATTATATTCGTATATTCGTACATTATACTTTCTTATTTTTTATTTGGTACATAAAATATTATAAAATATATTTTTAGATTATCGGGGATTAAAAGGATGAAAGATCTAATATTTTATTTTCGTTTTGTTTTATCCGAAAAATTTATTTCTCAATTATATAAATATTTTTTCTTTTTAGTTCAAAGAGTATTTAATATGAGTTTCCATTGAATTAATATTAATATGATCTTATGAAAAATATATTGAAGTTTTTATTAACGTTTTTTTTGCAAATGATTTTTAAGTATTATTATCATAAAATCATTAAGTATTATTATAATTGTCTATATTTAATAACTCATCATTTTAATGCAATAGGCTATTGCTTTTTTTAATCTATAAAATGATTATTTTTAGCTAAATCATATAGGTTTTTTAATATTGTGCCTTATGTGTTATTTTTTATGTATATAATCTATTTATCAAGTGGCAATTTAAGTATGTCGTAATTATTTTAAATTTGCAACATATTTTCCTTTGATGTGATTTCCTTTGATGATAAAAATTAAATGTTTACATATGTGTTGCATGCTATTCACTCATATGTTTTATCTTCTTACTATTACCATAATATAAAATATGTTGATTAAACAAGAATTATCATAATCTTTTGATATATGATTTTTCCGATAAATTTTGAGGTCATTTTGTGCGAAAAGAATAATTTTGAAGCATATAATAATAATATAATAATAATAATTTTAATATTTAACTATAAAATATATGTATGTGTATATATATTGATAAATATGCGCACATTAAAGACATTTTATATATATATAATGCCTTTAATGTGCGCATATTTATAATAACAAGATTATTTTTGTGATGGAATTATCATAGTTTTTATTGATATACATAAAAATTAAAAAAATATTTTCATATAGAAATTTGCAATATACATGTTTAATTTACCATACGTACACAATATTTGTTTTTCGTCTCCATGAGAGAAAGCGTTTTATGCACGGCGCTCCAAATACTGCAGCCATTTTATATAGATTGCAATGTATTGATCGTCTCCGCCAACTGCCGACATTGTACGTAGTATCAGAATGACAGGCTGGCAGATGGAATCGCAACTTCCTCTTCCCTCACCACCACCTGCCATCACGATCCAACCCCCTTCAATGCTTTGGACTGCCTGCCAACCCCTCGTCTCCGCCTATGCCTATATATATATATATATATATATATATATATATATATATATATAT